TGAAATAAGTATTTGACCCCTTCGACTTATTACTTGGTGGCAAAACCCTTGTAGGCAATCACAGAGGTCAGACATTTCTTACAGTTGGCCACTAGGTTTGCACACATTTTAGGTGTGTATTTTGGGTCATTGTTGGAATAACCATTCACGACTGTCAGGATTACTGTTTGATCTAGCATGTAGAACTGTATAGCATGGATGACAAATAAGTAATGTATTACCTGTCCTTAGAATGGCCAGATTTAACGTACATGGAATAGTCAAAAATACTAGCCGAGGTCAGGGAACACAGAGAGGGACGCAGCAATGAGGAAAGCCAGGAGTCAGGATACCAGAATATAGAGAAGTCAATAAACAAAGCCAAAGTAAAAAAACAGGTAGAAAACTATAAACAGGAACGCGCTCTCCGACAACCACAAGGGAAACCACAACAGGGCACTGAGCAGGATGAGAACTTTGCCTAAATACCCCTCCTCTAGATCTGATAGGCTGTAACCGGCCTTTGACTCCAAAGTCAGTTACCAGGTTTCATTTGCATAATTGCTGCTCAGCATTAACCCTTCTGTGGATTAGGTTGCTGCTCGGCACAACTTTTCCTGTGTGGACAGTAATTGTCATTAACCACATTTTTATAAGCGGATGAATACGTGACAACGACCCATTTTCAATGCCCTGGCTGAGGGAGTGAGGTTCCCTAACCCAAGATTTGACGGTACATGGGCCAGTCGTCCATCGTTCCTTTGATGCGGTGCAGTTGTCCTGTCCCCTTAGCAGAAAAAGACCCCCAAAGTATAATGTTTCCACCTCCATGTTTGACGGTGTGGATGGTGTTTTTGGGGTCATAGGCAGCATTCCTCTTCCTCCACACACAGCAAGTTGATGTGATGACAAAGAGCTCAATTTTGGTCTCATCTAACCACAACACTTTCACCCAGTTCTCCTCTGAATCATTCAGATGTTCATTGGCAAACTTCAGACGGGTCTGCACATGTGCTTTCTTGAGCATGGGGACCTTGCGGGCACTGCAGGATTTCAGTTCTTCATGGCGTAGTGTGTTACCAATTGTTTTCTTGGTGACTTCCTGTGTAGTTCTGGGCTGATTCCACACCATTCTCATGATCATTGAAACTCCAAGAGGTGAGATCTTGCATGGAGCACCAGAAGGAGGGAGACTGACAGTTATTTTGTGTTTCTTACATTTGCGGATAATCACAACCAACTGTTGTCACCTTCTCATCAAGCTGCATGGTCTTGTAGCCCATTCCAGCCTTGTGTAGGTCTATAATCTTGCCCCTGATATCCTTGGACAGTTTTTTGGTCTTGGCCATGGTGGAGAGTTTAGAATCTGTTTGATTGATTGCTTCTGTGGACCTTTAAGAGAGTGCTCCTAATCTAAGGTTGTTACCTATATAAAAGACAACTGGGAGCCATAAATCTTGCTGATTGATAGAGGATCAAATATTTATTTCACTCATTGACATGCAAATCAATTTATAACTTATGACATGCATTTTTCTGGATATTTTATTTTTTTGTTATACTGTCTCTCACTGTTAAAATGCACCTACCATTAAAATTATAGACTGATCATTTCTTTGTCAGTGGGTAAAAATCAGCAGGGAATTAAATACTTTTTTCACTGTACACATTCTCCCATGCAAAAGCACAGGTTTAACGAACAGCCATACAGAAACGTGTCCCCGCCAGGTTTATATCCATGTACTGGCATGAACTGTTTGACATGCTGCCTGATACAACGCACTGTACATCATATAAATCCTATTTCTGTTATTTGAGCAGCCATGCAAACTTGTATGTTATTACCCTGTTAAGTGTATTGTATATTAATGTCTGTATTTATGCATAAAGTCAATATAAAAATAAATAAATAAAACATCCCGTTCTGTATGTTCATTATTTTTAAAGGAACAAAAACTCAGTTTAGTAATTTTGCCTGTATGATGAATAAATGGGTTTCACTAAATAACTTATTATTTAAAAAGATATACATTTTGAGCTCTTATATTCCTCTTGCAAATTAAACAAGCAGTTGCTATATAACTTTAATAGTAATTAAAAATACAATAGCACTGAGGCGGAGCCTAACCCTTCATGGAGACGGACGCGTGAACCGTTAGCTCTCCGACCCCGGGATTGCAATCCAACGCCATCAGCGCCTCCATTCAGGCATCTCGCCACTACTCACCCACCGATATCCCCCACTCACCTTATTTACCCCCCTGCACCATGGGAGGCACGAAAAAAAGAAGAGATACCACCCCGTCCGTGGCCACATTGTTCCGCGGGAAAGAAGACGGGCGGCCATCTTTGTCACAGGGCCACACAGAGACATGCTCCAACTCAGACGACTATGAGGCCGCAGAACGGCATGCGGCCCCCATCACAAAAGAGGACCTTAAGAAACTGCTTAAAGAAACATCCGACGACATCAAGGCATACACAGCGGCTGCCCTGGCATCGCGCACCAGCCGCACTGAAACCCAGATTGCAGAAACACAGGACAAGTTAAAGACACACACCGGAGACATAGGGGCCATGCAGGATAAGATCTTGTACCTGGAGGATGGCCTGGAGGACCTAAATAACAGGTCACGGAGGCAGAATATCAGAATACGAGGCCTCCCGGAATCAGTCCTACCCGAGACACTATTACCAACCGTCCGGGCGATCTTCCAATCCCTCCTCCCAGACGCTTCCGAACAGGACCTCTACATAGAGCGGGCCCATAGAGCCCTGCGCCCCCCAACATATAACATGAATGCCCCTAGAGACATCATAACCAAGCTCCTCTACTTCCCAATTAAAGAGAGGCTTATGAAGGCTGCGTGGGACAACCCGCCAACGTATCAAGGCCAAACCTTGCATTTTTATCAGGACCTGTCACCGACCACGCTACAGAAACGCCGGGATCTCAATCCACTAACTACCGCGCTTGTGGAGAAAGGTTGGCGCTACACGTGGGGACATCCCTTCAAACTACATGTCAAGAAGGGTGAGCAGACATACACTCTCCACCAAGTCACGGACATGCAAGACTTTGCCCAGTACATCGGACTCTCACTTCGCCAACCAGCCCAGGAGAC